ACATATACATGCATATACATATATATATATATATATATATTCGCGTACAGGTTCCAAACACGCGCGCATGACACGCAGCATTTTCGCGATGAGGACGATTCTCGGTAATTCTTGGTTGCGTCGGAAACGCCGCGCCGTCTAGAAAGTAACGCTCCACATCGACGACCTTGTTCCTAGGATCTACATGCGGCGTCGATCGGCCTCGACTCGGCGCAGCGTATCCGCGACGATCGGCCACTTTCGGGCCTCCGCGATAATCGCAGCTGTTGACAACAGAAACGACGAAGCGCGCCTCTTCTCCCACTCTTGATCTCTCGCGAAGATCGAAATCGGCGATGAGCTCCGAAATTTTCGAAGACGAAAATAATTCCCGAAAGACACACGAAAGTAAACCTTTGATGTACGAGAATAACCTTCATGTTTATTCACGACGATACTGCTCGCGCGATCTTAAAATCGTGACAAGGTCATTCTTCCGCGGACACGCAAAAATTCGATTCTTATGCTTTTTATTCTTGACAACGAAACTGATTTCACAACGAAAACTTATATGAGTCGTTGAAACCTATTTTCAGAACGAGGCAAAGTTTTACGTCGCTCCGAAAATTAATTGGCAAGAATTAAACCTAACCTAATTCTACGTTTGTGTTAATTTCATTTTAACTTACAACTCGGGCAAAACTATGACATTGTTAATCGCTCTCTCGAGCGAACCAAACTTGTTTTAAGTCGGAAACTCCAATGTTTATCCAATGTTAGTAGTAGTGGTAGTAATATAACGACACGATAAGTACATAGTGTGAAAGAGAAAGAGAGAGAAAACTTTACTATTGACACAGATAAATATAGGAGGCCATGTAATTTTTTTGCGTGCTAGTGGCACCGAATTTCAAACTCGGCAACTTCACAGCGGTTCGAACCCCGTGCCAGACACAATAATATGTACATATATATATATATATATATATATGTATGTATGTATATGAAATAAATACCGTTTCTTTCCGCTGGGCTTTCCACTCCTCGATACCGCTACATCGATCGATGACAATTGACATTGATATTGCACGTGGGGCGACAAGTCTTGTATGTATATGTGCACTCGTTATGACGCACAATATCGATGCGTATGTACGCGTACACTCTGGCAGGAGTACGTGCGTACGCGACTGCGTCACGTGTATAGATGTATTCGTGCGCGTAAGCGAGAGGACGCATAAAAACAACACAGTAGAGCAGCGCGTGTACGGTCGCGGATGGACTGATCGTGGGGGTCGAGCCACAGGTGTCATCTGACAGCGGCGATGCGTCCCCTCCCCGCTTCCCCGCTCTACTGCCGAGCGCGCTGCGTGCTACGTCACGACCACGACTGCTCCCCTCCTTCGCGTCATTACCCCCACCACGCGACGCGCACAGATACGACCGTCCTATCTGTGTGTGTGTGTGTCGAGACGTTTGTCGCTCTTTGCGTGTGCGCGTGCGTGCGTGTAAATTGAGCTAGATGGTCATCGATAATCTCCCGATACTAGAAAGTATTCGATATCTTTCTTTGAAATAGATAAATAGAGATATGACAAGAAGTTTCGTTCGATTAAAAAATCATGATCAAACATGGCAGACAGCTGTATTTTTCCCGAGACGCGAGATAACATTTGTTGAAAATATCATATGTAATTTCGATCATTTATCTCTTTTAAAAAAAGAGAAACTTTTATCAGAAATCTTGAAATTAAAATATAACATTGATACAATGCTCAATAAATCAAAAGATTTCAGGAATATTCTGTAATGTTAGCATATTAATTCAACGAACATTTTCAGGATTCTTCTTCTTGTAGTGTATACTCTTGTATTTATTTACTTTATATTCTTTCAATAACGAAGCAAAGCAAGAATAATTTGAAGTTTTAATGATCATTAATATTTTAATATAAAAAATGTATCTTTCTTAACAATGCTATATAGACATCTCACACTTTTTAGAGATTATCTTTATATAACAGAGAATGATAATATAATTTTTAATTTAAATGGATAAATTGAAATATATAAATTATACACAGATGTGCACAAGAAATAGTTTCTTGATTTCAGTTTTCAGACTTTAGCAGACTTATTATATTAACAAGACATTTTAATCATTACTTATTTAAGAGTTGTATAACGAATAATAGAAAAGATAATGAAGAATGAAGTTTTTCTGAATTATGCACACACCACTTTTTTATTTTATCGAAGGAAAAGACAAAAATATAAAACTGGATAAAGATATTTTTGAAATACTACAATAAAAAATTGTATCTAGAAAAAGCTGAAAATATAAAGTATAAAATGCTTTATATATAATATATATATCATCTAAAGAATTTGAATAATTTATTTAAAATAAATAATAAAATACATATCTCGAATTAAAAATATAGATATTATCAAATGTAAAAGGTAAGTAAGTGTACGTTTATTAATTAATAACGATATTTAATAAATTTATTGTCTAGAAAAGAGGAAAAGAAGGACTAAAAAAATGACGCATGATATATGTATAAAACAGATAATTCAGAAAGCTCAAAAATAATAGATATAAAGAAGAAATTTTAATTCAGGGGGAGAAGAGAGAACAGATTAAATTCATAGTTCAAATAGATATTTATTCAAAAACCATTGTATCCGTGACAAAACATATAATGTCTGTATCGACGTAACGTGCATATGATGTCTTCCATTCATTCGTTCGCACTCACGCTAATTTCTTCCATTATTATTTTCATTTTTTTTTCTTTTTAGTAAACTTAATATTTATTAATTACATGTATATATATATTTTTTTTCTTTTATGCTGTAGAATATTTAATATATATCTTTTCTTCTATCTCCATACATACATCCCACACGCCAGTTACGACTTATATATACGCGCATACAATTTTTTTTCTTTATAATGTTATTTATTTATTTAACTGGTGATTGTGTGTACATATCTAATTACATGTTGTCGTACGTGATATGGCGCTAAGCCATTTTTATTTCAGCTATACACTACGAAATTTCCCGCACATGCTCCTTATTCGCACAAATTTGAGACCTTGTCAAGGGTACGACACGATTTTCCGTTCGACTTCGTGAAATATCTGTCACAGACGAATAAGCAGATAACCTAGAGGGTTATTTGAGAAGAAAACACAAACCTGGAAACGGATAATCTATACAAATAACTCTCCTTAGGTTTCCTGCTTAGAACACGAATATATTTTTAGTCTCTTGTTTAACGTGTTCCTTCCTAAACGTTTAGAATCGCTAAGTATTCCGTTTTAAAAAACTATAATTTTCACGCAGATTAACAATTAAACATAAATCTACAATTTCTATATCTAAAGATGAAGAATTTCTATATCAAAAGGATAGTATAAACAACAATTTGGAAGAAAATCTCGAATAATTATCAAGAATAACAATCTTTAATTTTTATAGCTTCTAATTCCTTTAAAAAACCATTGATCGCTAGAGTTTTATCTTCCTAGGAAGAAAAATTCACACAAAATAACGATTGACGAAAAAACGAGGCACAAATTTACTTGATGCAGAAATTCATTTTACGTTTTTCCTTAAAACATCAATGGTGTCGCTTTTCTCACATATGTTTAAAAAGGTCGGAGGAAATTCGTACGTTTTTCTTGACCGCAGGTCTCCTCCGCAAGCCAATTTGCGACTTTCCGATCGTTCTCGACTTCGTCACGTGTCACCCGTAAGAATCGCACGATCGTCCTGGGAAAACGGAAGCGCTCCTCCACTCACTCACTTCCTTCCTTCCTTGTCGTCAGAAGGATCCTCTCCTCGCGTAGATTGTACGATCGTACGAAAGAATGGGATACTTTATCGTAGTAAGGACTGTTCCGAGAAGTCGATGTGCGTCGAACACGCGATACTTTTATATGGAAATAAACTACGGTGTACTAAATAAATTAAGGTTTAGGAAAGTGATCCGCAAGTATTCATCAATATATCTTTTATTAGCAAATCAAATTTTATTATGTTCAATTTATTATGTTGATTACGAGATTGGGTTGAACTTTTTAACTGTGGAATGATAGAATATAGTACAAAGTATTGTAAGATATACAATTTAAATTTCTACTACACTGAAAAAAAAAACTATTAAATTCAAATATTTACTTGAATCGTTCCATTTACACATTTGTTTGAAACAAATAAATATTTATCTATTTTGAAAAAGGATTTCTTATACCAAATAAATATTTTTTCACAGCAGATCAATATTATTAGTTTGAAAAAGGATGTACAATGTAGTATTGACATAAATATTTATTTGAATAATTTATTTTTTTCAGTGTACTATCAAAAGCCAAATTTTTGAAAAAATATTGCTATTGATAAAATATTTTAAATTATATTTTCTATACATTATTTGCAAATCATATTTTTTGTATTTCAATAAGATATAAAATGTTGTTTATTTACTTGTTAATTAATTAACAGCATCAGTAAAAGTAAGCAGATTTATCAAGCACTTGCTCTTTTATTTATCATTTAAATTTAAATTGAATTCTCCATTAAATTCTATAATTATATGTATGTCAAAATGATTCTTTCGCAGGGAACTCGATGACAGTAGTGTGCTGTCTGATGTAGTTTATCTTTGAGAAATCCAATATATATCTCTAGAAAAAAGTAACTAACTACTTTATATAGCGAATTTGATCGCGTACTACATCGCGTTTGTGTACAAAAGATGTTATAATAAAACTATTTAAATGCATAAATCAATAATATACATATTTTGAATAATATAATATTTAATGTTATAAAAGATATTTGGTTATAACCTGTGTTAATTGATTTCATTTAAAAAAAAAACTTATACCTTTGTAGTTATATTGTATTTATATATAAATAATTATTTTTAACATACACTAATGCGATGTAATGCAAATGATCAAATTTGTTATTTGATGTGCTAATCCATGGATAAACGATCAGCACAATTAGAATAACACAGTGCACTTTTACTGTTCGTTGTACGGAGTGCGAAATAAAAACTCGAGATCTACAAAATAAAAGTGCGTCTATGAAATAATGTGTTAAAAGTTATTGTTTAACGTTAGAATATGTAGATCATGAAGAAGACGAAAGTATACGAATAAGGATCAGTCCTCTTGTTGTTATGCAATTGTTCCAATTGACGGATGTTTCCAAGATATCATCGTATAATCATTGTTGCAATTTAAATCAATTGCATCACATAAAACATGCATTGTTTTCTAAACTTTCCTGGGACTATTGTCATTAACGCCTTGCTTATTATCGTCATATTGTAGTCGGTCAGTCTGTCTGTCGATCAATCTCACGCCGATACAATGTGTTGTTCATTATCAACTGCGACTTTCAAAATTTTCGCAATCCCCGTTTCGCTTAACGCCTTTCTTCAATCGATATCGTAAGGCACATATTTTCGACACGTCCCGAATCTCTTGAAACTAAAATGATTGGATCAGGCGCGCAAACAATTGGATCTCGCGCGCAATCGAAGTCGAGACGCGACTCGGGAGTTCGATCGTTAAACCGATGCTATACCTTCATTCGCGAACGAAGAAAAATGTTTCTCTAATTGAGAAATACGTAGAGAACTATTACGCTATGACATGTCACAAGAAATAGAGTATTACTATATAATTAGTATTGAAACTCATCATTGTCGTGACTTAGAATAAGATTAAAAGGTCTAACATTTTTCTTCTCAACGCGCGTCGACAAAACTTTTGCTTTTTTTTCTTTTTTACTTCATTTTCAATGAGTTCTTTAAAATTTTGCAAACGTACGCACAAATATAACGACGTGTATTTTTAAATCGACCTACACTAGGTCGAGTATCTTGTTGAAGAATCAATTCTCACCCTTTCTTTTTTCTCTCTCTCTTTCCTCAGTTAGCGGCGGGAAATAACGTCAGGTATCGCAATAAATACGGTATAGCGAAGCTCGGTGACAACATGAAACCTATGTTGCGTTAGAACCTAGCCCTGATATAAACGGCCGAAGCATCATGTTCACCATATCCGAGACGTTTAGCATGCTTGTACACTTCGTTCGCCGCAGCGGCCAACGGTAAAGGTTGTTCTAGTTGATCACTCATACCTAGAGACAGTCTCAGGTCCTTTTGCATATGTTGCAGCGGTAACTGGGTAGGAAAACCGCCCTCGATGATTGCTACAAGCACAATATTACAAATAACAAGTTAATTGCAAGTTCTATAAGCAATTTTACTAACATTCAACCAGTTTAATTAAGAAAATTCCAAGATATATAATATATTATATAACTATTGGAACTATAGTATATTAAAATTACAATTTTATTAGTATTATTTTTATAGAAATATTAAAATAATTAAAATTAAAATTTTATCTGCTTTTATATTTCTTAGAAAGGTGCATATTATTATTTAACCAATTGAAGGTTAATATAAATATAAGTAAAATTGTTGTGATCCAGACATCTACCTTTGCCCTTATCGAGAATTGCTGGACATGCCAAAGATGTCAATTCCAAGACTTCCAGAACGTCCTTCTGTTGAAGTCCAGCACGATCTGCAAGTGCCATACTTTCGGCTAGAGCTGCCAAAGTCACACCAGCCATTAATTGAAGCACGAGATTCATCTTGGAAGCATTTCCGACTTCACCAAGGTAGAAGCTATTCTTGCCCATAGCCTCGAAACAAGACTGACATTCATCAAACAGCGACCGATCTCCAGCTGCAAGAATCACCAGGGTACCTTCCTGCGCCTGCGTTTTACTTCCTTGCACTTGTGCCTCTAAATAACGACCACCCTTGCCGTTTATAGCTTCAGCAATATCTTGAGATGTTTCCGCATCAATTCCGGTCATCTCGACATAGCTCTTGTCAGGAGATATCTCTGTTAGTACACCGCAATTGCCAAATACCATCTGGAAAAAGCATTTATTTAATACACATTTGTTAAACATTTAATTCTATCCTACTAGTTTAATAGAAACTATAATATTGAAGAAGATGGATTATTATTCATAAAGAATTGTAAAACTTTGCCGACACTTACATCCTTGGCAGCCTGTGGGTCAGCTACACAAGAAAAGGTGATGTCAGCTGCTAACACAACATCCGATGGCGTTAAACCTTGCTCTGCTCCTGCCTTGACAAAATCTGCACACTGCAAAAGATAGATAATATATAGAATAATTTATTGACCTTTCAATCATTTACATAAAATCTAGCAAAGATATAGATAAAAACTGAGAAAATAAAATATAATTTATCTAATATAAGAGTTTTAACAAGGCTCTGTAATATATAAATATAAATTTAACGTATAAGACGGGCAACAAGAGCCAAATCGCGGATGACAATGCGTTATCCTAACGAAACTAAATAATTTTTCGTTAGAATTAAAATACCGGTGCACAAGGCACCAAATTTTTTACTTGGACACGGCCAAGATTTTAAATATGAAATAATCTCATATTTTGAGATTTAATTTCAATACCACTAATAAATAAATGAATGCAAGAGAAAAATATAGATCCGAAAATCGCTGAATCGGGAATCGAACCCGAGACCTTTCGCTTGCCGGGTGACTGCTCTTCCAGCTGAGCTATTCAGATCCTTTCGATTCTATACTTTTCTCTGTTATATATATTAATGTTGGTAAACAAACGCATTTTTTAAGCCAGCGTGTATCAAATATAAGAGTTTTAACAAGGCTCTGTAATATATAAATATAAATTTAACGTATAAGACGGGCAACAAGAGCCAAATCGCGGATGACAATGCGTTATCCTAACGAAACTAAATAATTTTTCGTTAGAATTAAAATACCGGTGCACAAGGCACCAAATTTTTTACTTGGACACGGCCAAGATTTTAAATATGAAATAATCTCATATTTTGAGATTTAATTTCAATACCACTAATAAATAAATGAATGCAAGAGAAAAATATAGATCCGAAAATCGCTGAATCGGGAATCGAACCCGAGACCTTTCGCTTGCCGGGCGACTGCTCTTCCAGCTGAGCTATTCAGATCCTTTCGATTCTATACTTTTCTCTGTTATATATATTAATGTTGGTAAACAAACGCATTTTTAAGCCAGCGTGTATCAAATATAAGAGTTTTAACAAGGCTCTGTAATATATAAATATAAATTTAACGTATAAGACGGGCAACAAGAGCCAAATCGCGGATGACAATGCGTTATCCTAACGAAACTAAATAATTTTTCGTTAGAATTAAAATACCGGTGCACAAGGCACCAAATTTTTACTTGGACACGGCCAAGATTTTAAATATGAAATAATCTCATATTTTGAGATTTAATTTCAATACCACTAATAAATAAATGAATGCAAGAAAAATATAGATCCGAAAATCGCTGAATCGGGAATCGAACCCGAGACCTTTCGCTTGCCGGGCGACTGCTCTTCCAGCTGAGCTATTCAGATCCTTTCGATTCTATACTTTTCTCTGTTATATATATTAATGTTGGTAAACAAACGCATTTTTTAAGCCAGCGTGTATCAAATATAAGAGTTTTAACAAGGCTCTGTAATATATAAATATAAATTTAACGTATAAGACGGGCAACAAGAGCCAAATCGCGGATGACAATGCGTTATCCTAACGAAACTAAATAATTTTTCGTTAGAATTAAAATACCGGTGCACAAGGCACCAAATTTTTTACTTGGACACGGCCAAGATTTTAATATGAAATAATCTCATATTTTGAGATTTAATTTCAATACCACTAATAAATAAATGAATGCAAGAGAAAAATATAGATCCGAAAATCGCTGAATCGGGAATCGAACCCGAGACCTTTCGCTTGCCGGGCGACTGCTCTTCCAGCTGAGCTATTCAGATCCTTTCGATTCTATACTTTTCTCTGTTATATATATTAATGTTGGTAAACAAACGCATTTTTAAGCCAGCGTGTATCAAATATAAGAGTTTTAACAAGGCTCTGTAATATATAAATATAAATTTAACGTATAAGACGGGCAACAAGAGCCAAATCGCGGATGACAATGCGTTATCCTAACGAAACTAAATAATTTTTCGTTAGAATTAAAATACCGGTGCACAAGGCACCAAATTTTTTACTTGGACACGGCCAAGATTTTAAATATGAAATAATCTCATATTTTGAGATTTAATTTCAATACCACTAATAAATAAATGAATGCAAGAGAAAAATATAGATCCGAAAATCGCTGAATCGGGAATCGAACCCGAGACCTTTCGCTTGCCGGACGATAATTTATCTATATTTAAGCAGATACTATACAAAATTCAATTATAAAATATTTTTTATATTTATTTAACAGCATTTTTTCCATTTATTAATAGCATATTGTAAGCTGAATTTATCGTTATTTATACAAATATCTCTATACTTTATAGTATTTAATTATAATTCAATTATAATTTCATAAATATTAATTTTATATTATATATATATATATATATATATATATATATATATATATATATATTATATAATATTAATTTTATATATTTATATCCCTATTTTTAATTACATATGTATAATTAATATAATGATTCATATTATAATATAAAATTGATATTTTATTTTATAGTGACACCAATTTTTAGCAGCATTGTTTTAATATCAAAATTTAACATCCTAGCGCCATCTGTCGTGAAACAACTCAGTCACAACTAATACGAACTATCGCCGACAGATGGCGGCACGACGAGGAGCCGGGCGCCATCGCGTCACTCCGTTCGTCATGCGATGCCGTCTCGTCGAAGCGTTCCCGGAACGCCGGCCACATCAGCAAACGACGCCATTGTTGCTCAAAAGAGTTTCCTGCACGTCGCGTCGATTGCGGATACCCGTTACAGAATTCGTTCTCGTGTACGGGATTTTTCTCTTTCAGCGATATATTACGAGCGCGAGACGTGTATCGCGATTCAATGGGGGAAACTCGGCAGTATTTTTTCCTTTTATCTCGACCGTGACGAAAATGAACGGCCAGCCATTAGCCATTTTAGCGTCTTCACGTTGCTCAAACGACTTGGAATTTTCTTTTCTCGCGATCGCTTTTCCATCCAGGACGAGGTCGACGACAAAACACGCGATTCACCGTAACTACGTCGTCGAATTTATTTCGTCACGTGGCCTGGCTATTGTGATGTAACGTTGGCGTTTTTCTCGAAATATACTGGCGAATTTTGTCGTTCTCGGAATTTATCTAATTTATTCGCAAACACTCATTCTTCTTAATAGTTGCTAAAGAGTCATAAATAGCTTATTCCAAAAATTTAACGATCGACGTGACTAAAAAACCGTATCTTTCGTGTGTTTTCCACACAAAAGTACATATATTCGGACAATATTGTTGTATCGCGACTCTCTGAAAGAATCAATGTTCAACTTCAATTATCTCGAAGTAAATTACACAAGCTGAGTCATTAGAAACACAATACTTGAATGTCTCTTCAATTTAAAGGTATGTATAAAATTTCTTCACATGGTTTTAAACATATTGTAATCAACAATCTTGAAACTTTCAAGGTTTCATATTTTGTGTGTAATTCTAAATTTATCAGTCTGAAGTTATTTTCGAAATAATATTACATTACAAAAAGTTAAATTCATTTAGACGTCACAATTATCTAATAAGTTTGAAGATTGTTTTTAAACGCATTCCTCAAAAATGCTTCTTCAAAATCGTCAAAATTTGCATTTCTATGTATTCCTACACATTTTTAAAGTCATATAAAATGTTTCAACATTCTACTTTAATGACATGCATTATATTCTTATCACATGTACATTAAATATGTGTATTCTTATCAAACGGCTTAAAAAATGTTATATCAAATAACATCGATTGTGTAATCAAGAGCATGTTATCTTTCATACGTTTAATACAAAACTGATATAATATTATGTAATATTTCTAAGTTCATATATATATTATATAGACTGAAACAAAGCGCACGGGTATTTGTTACACGCACGTTATAAGAAGACTTGTGTACGTTATATGGTACCAGCATGTCCTATCTACGAATCTTTATCTCATCCGGTGTATGTTATTACGAGAGAGGAAAAGAGAAACAAAGCGCAAGTGTTCTGTATCGACGAGTCGAAAAGGAAAATAGGTCGCGTTAATTCGCGTGTTTACGACCTCCAGTAATGCGCCTAATAAAACATATGTTATAGATTAGATGAAGCATAACGCGATAAACAAGAGGGTCTCGATAAACAAAATTTCACGAAAGTGAGATTTTGTTTTCCAATTTGTTTCTCGTTCGTTCCGTTTGTTTTCGCATCTTTCTCTAACTCTTCTCACGAAGCAAGTTTTCCGCTGCTTTCGTCGGAATTATCGGAAAGCTTTGTATATAAAGTATATAAAGTAACATCCCGCCCGTCACGGTCTACTTCGAAAGTTACGTTCGGCCGTGACGTGACGCACTTCCGCTTTATTCTTGTCCGGTGTACTTATAGAAACACCGAGGGAAGAACTTGGATTTTTCTTGGACGATGTTGTCATCCCCGTAAGACAATCTTTTGACTAACTTGATATCTATTTATGTAATTTTGGAAGCTTTCCCCGAAAAGAATTTGTAATGACATTTCGTGCCCAACGATGAGAATGATGATTTAATTGAAATGAAATGAAAATATTCATATACAAATTGAAATTTATGAATATTCAGCAATGATCTTAAAAATACAATATTGAAATCTAACGCGTTTTCATGCACAATTCATTATAATGATATGTTAATGACTGTATTACAATTTTAATTGTTTTACTGAATGTCTCTCTTTTCTTTCTAGTAACGTTTTCGTTTTTTTTTTTTTGTTTTTTTTCATTAACAAATATTTTGTAATGGAATACAAACAGAATATGTTTAAATAAATTTTGTAGATAATAATACAAGGTTCGTACACGTTGTAAAGTTTATTACGTGCTCATTTGAGATTCGACACGACTTCGTCGTTATTGCGTTAAGCTGGAAGAAGCTTTGAACGAGCAAACTAGGAATAGCGCTAAGCGATTAATGGTCAAAGAACCGTCCCTCCCAGTCTTTCTTTCTGGATGACGTGTATCACCATACAGCATAAAGCAATCGAGCCTTCTCTTCCTACAATTTACCACCCACACGACGTGCATAACCACACAATAGACATATAGGGCGTTTCAAAACGGGTGAATTTTAATGCTTGTTTCGCAACAATTTAGAATTGAGACTTCCTTAATGAAGACATATTGATGCACCAAGATGCAGCAAGAAATTGTAACTAAACCAAAGTAGAGAATTACTTTTAAACAGAATTTTGATTTTATAACATTTAAATTTTACTTAAAAATATTTCTTGAAAATAAAAGTCATAATATAAATTGGCATCGTTCCATTAAATTTTTGCCATTAGAATTCATAGTATTAAAATTCGCAGAGTTTATTCTTGACGTTGCATATGTATAAATGTTAAAATCCGGTTGAAACGGAGCTGTGGAATTTGTTACTAAATTAAGTTTTATCATTAGCATCTTGGCGAGCAGTTGATACAGGTATCTATTCGATTGCTTGGCAACATGTTTATCACATGACTTTCAAAAATATTTCAAGAGGGCAAATATTTTCGATTCGAGCGCATGTCAGGAACAAGAGATATACATTAGTCTAATTTGATGAAGACGGAATCGTTACAAAAGTGTCCAAGTTAATAACGTCGAATTCTCGTTATTTTACGAATCTTCATACGAAAACAGGAAACCAATTCTTTCATCATTTCTACATCGCGTATTCAATAAATGAATCTTAAAAATCAATCTGGGCTATTTTTTTTCTTCGATAGGAAATTGCTGATTAATTTGTTTTATCGATGTAAGTAGTTTTTTATGAAAGCTAAAAGTAATAACCGTAATCAAATATATAATTAAATCAAAATTAAAAAATGAAATAAAAATAAATTACAGGAAACATAAAAATTAAATCAGAGAAAATGTGTACGATGTAAAACAAAATTTTCAAATCTTTTTAAATTTCATTAAAATTATATTATTTAATCCGCATCGAAAAGATTGTGCTAGAGCACGATTACGTAAGATGATTATTCTGCTGCATAAATTCCACGAAAATTAATTTTGCAAATAAACGACGAATCTCATAACGCAAAATGTCAGAACACACAAAAAAAAACAAGTGACTCGGCAATCAAATAAATAAAAAGAACTGACAGAGACGGTCACGATAAGTTACACGACAAGGTAATGTTGTGTTATTCAACCTTGAATCAACTTGGGCAACTTGTACGCCTTCCACGAAGAAATCCAATGATTTTTTAGACAAACGTCACTGCGCACAAATGCGCCTTTGCATTTCTTGTCGCTATATAACACATTGTGATGTCGACTTTCGCTTAATCATTCAAAACTTGATAACCCTGACGATAAAATGTATTGAGTTTTTTTGGGCATTTGCTATTTTAAGAGAATTATGTAAAATTATGAAAGAGCGTAAAAAAAATAGTACAGATAGTGATTTTAAATAAACCCCTTTGTGGACATAAAATGCAATATAAATTTTATTTCGAAAAGGTAGCATCAATAAAAATTGAATTATGTGTGATAACTGATAACCTCGCTGATAACTGTATATATTTGTGTACTTATACTGATTTACGGAGTTTATTTTTGCAAAATTTATGTGTAGGTGAGATATTCTCATATAAGACGAGTCCATATTCTCATATATATTTTTAATTTTCTACTATATTTTTGTTATTTTTGTTTCATGTTTTTTATTTTAGCAATATATGCAAAAACATTGTTAGATATACATATTTAATTATTCATTGAATATACAATGAACTCTAATTATCTTTATGTAAACTGCATTGAATACAGATTAGGGAAGGAGATACGATTCTTAATGGTTTCAGCTCACTTTGCATAAATATTACATAACTTTGTTTAGAAACACTTCGTATAAATGTGATATAAAAGTGAAAAAGAAATGGCTGGCCTACATAACACGCGTGGGTGAACTCGTTTGACGTTCATGTTGACGATTTGGCGTTTGCATTAATAATCGACGAGTGAACAATACTATTTGCCGCTCGTACCTATTATGCACTTGCAACATCTCCGCAAATGTCAACGTAACTCTTCATCAAAGCAAGCAAAATATTTATCAATTAGATTGCTGTTACAATTACCTGCATCGAATTTTCATACGCATACAAGACTACTCCCAGCACATGACAAAAGTTCAAATATTATGATAGCATATCGAGATCATTTTTTCATAAGGAAAAACAACAAACATGTAATCAAACTTAAAATTTCAATACCTTGTTTAACGCCATTGTGATTTATATTTTACATTTCGATATATTACATCGTTTATCACAGTTCGAATTAAGCTCTCTCCTGACAACGTAAGATATGATAATTGCATTTGGCGTGAAAGGCTCTTGGATAAAATTTACAAATTAAGTAATTCTGTTTAATTAACAAAAAGAGAAATCTATTCTTTTTTTTTTTATCAATAAATAATCCTTTCTTTCTCGGTTCAAGGAGGAATCGATATAACTAGCCGAGCTATCGTAATTGTGGAATACTCACATATTTCCAATGAAAGCGGAATAATTTAAAAGACTATCGAAACACGATATTGTTGAGAAAGAGAAAAGAGATGGATATCGCGATTTTGTATTTTAGATTAAAAAAAAGGCTTAAAAAAAATTGGGAAATCTATTAATTAAAAGTGCTTATGTATTTCTTGATACCATTCATACAAAAAATGCAATAAAGGAAAAAATAATTAAAAAAATAAAATTCTGCAATAATGTTTAGAATGTTAGACAAAGAGTTAGAAGCGTAAAATTAAATTTATGTCCCTATATCTATAAATATCGATCCGCCGATAATCAAATTGTTTCATTCGTTGCATAAAGTAGCTTTGATTGACGGCAAAAGATACAAATTGAATGCACACGCGCGCACGTGATCGCATATACGGTGTCATGCATTTAATTAAATATCATTCCGTCGTGCATGCTTATGTAAAATTACGCGAAAGCCAACAGTTGCGAGTAATGCATTTCTTTGATATATTCGAGATACGGATCTCTTCATCATTGTTTCGTCATGCAAAAGTGCTGATTGTCACGCAAACAGCGCACTTTTGATTTTCTCCGGTGCAATCGGAGACAAAACCGAGCGGAAACTTATCCGCTCTGCGATTAATTCGATCCAACTGATGATACCAACTTTGATATGAATGTGCCTGATAGGCAAGAAGAAAGGAAAAGCAACGAGCTATGTTAAACAGCGGGATAATTAGCAAGCCGCCTGTAAAACCGCTTCAAAGGTCTGGCATAAATGACCGAGTAGACAAAAACGATAAAATTATCAGAGGATGGGACACTCGAATGAATTGCTTAAAAATGTTCGTAGTTAAAAAATTTTTTAAATTGAAACTATGAGGA